AGGTGGGGTTTTCTGTGCCCAAGTCTGCAGGGGGCTGAGCAGGGCTGCGGGGCCCAGACAGCCCAGCTGGCCCGGGAGCAGTGGCCCAGCGGGGGAAGGGGGCAGCATTGCTTCTCTGTGACACCAGCACCGCTGAGCCCCAGCCCTTCCGGGCTGGAGATGAGATGAACTTGGTATTCGCGACACCAAGACCTCCCGCTGTCATCCTGCCTCTGGGTGCCCTGTCCCGGCCCACCCCACCTCCCTGTACCCGTTTTCTTAAAATTTTGATATTGTTGTAACGCGGAGCAGACCACCGAGCCTCTCAGGGGAGGGTGTGAAGAGTGCAGCGCGGGGAGGCGTGCATGCGGCCTCCGCAGGCCCACACGGGCACGTGGGGCGCGTGCACCTCTGGCGGGCCCCGCACACACAGGCGTGCAGGCACCAGAGCAATGGGCAGAGGACAGGCTCCCGGGAGCACCAGCCCCTCCATGTGCCCAGGTCACTGGTGCCATCATCCTCCTGCCCCCCCCCCCAAGCGGAGGAACCAGGATGGTGGTGGGTGGGGTGGCCTCCTGCGGCCCAGGGGGAGGGCGCCTGGGCCTGGCTGCCTCCGCCTGCTGCTGCGAGGAGGGGGTTCTCGCCCCCCAGAGGGCGTTGTTTTGTATAAATGAAAACAAAACCCGGGAGAAGCTGCCCCTCCCCTAAGCGCGATGCACAAGCTTTGCCTCGGTTTCTCCTCGCCATGTTCATCTTCGGTCCCAGGGGCGCCTCAGTCCCCTGGTTCCGACCCGGGGGTGTTGGCCTCGCCCCCTTTTACTTGTATTAGAAAAAACTCATGGTTTGAAAAATACTTTTTATAATAAAGTCTTGAAAACAATGCTGGCTGCTCGTGTCCCTCCTGCCCCCGGGGTGGTGCCCATCCTGACCGGCAGGGGCGCCCACGCCCAGGCCGAGGGGACCCCAACCTGCCACAGGCAAGAGCCCCCGGGAGCCCGGCCAGCGTGGCTGGGGGTTGGGCGGAGGCCACGGTTCGATCCCATCCGTTGGGTCCCATGGGGCACAGGCCCAGGGTGCGGACTTGATCCCCGTGCGGGGCGCGCAGGAGGCAGCCGGTCAGTGACTCTCTCTCCGCCCTTCCTCTGAAGGCAGTAAACACGCATGTGGTTTAAGCAGACCTCCACGGCAGGGCACGAGGGTCCCGCCCGAGATATCTGATTAATCATATTAATCTAAAAATTACCCTTTGGAAAGATTTATGCCATCAGAATTCTTTGTGTTTTGTTACTGGCAGGGCATATAATTCCTAAAATTATTTATTTTAATTAGTTACTGG